ATATCGAGAGTCATCAATTAAAGCATCCGTAGAAACATTTAAGAACACAACAACTATCAATTTAAGACTCACGGTCATGCTCGACACCAACGTATAGATACTCGTCACCATGCCTATACGTCGTATTCAACAAGAAGCAATTAGCAAATAGGACACAACTCCTAATCCATCAAGCTAAGGTTAGACCAGACACTTACCTCAAACTTCCACGGTCAACTCAATCCTCAATTACCGCCTTTCCACTCGAATTCGGCTCTAAATCAATTGTATCTATACATAATCGACTTCATAATATCAATAAATTCTAAACAATTTGAATCCAATGTCTAATTATAACTTTCTAATCATTCTTCCCAAAAATCCAAAAATCGACCCCGGGCCCGCTTGGTCAAAACACGAGGTTCGAACCAAAACCCGATTGCCTATTCACTCACGAGCCCGAATATATAATTTGTTTTCAAATCTGACTCCGAAACGAGGTCTAAATCGCAATTAATCAAAAAGCCCTAATTCTACCAAAATCCCTAATTTTCTACCCTTAATCTCATGTTTTAGGCCTAGAAATCTAGTGGGTGTTGATGAAAATGGAAGAAAACAAGTTAAAGATTACTTACCCAAGAGATTATAGTGAAGCAATGCTTCAAAAGTTTCCCCAGAGCTTTGGAGAAGAAGAAGTTTATGAAATTTTTATGAAATCCCGAAAGTGTTCTGTTTTTGGTTTTTTAAAACCACTAGGCCAAAACACTCTTCGCCTTCGCGACAGACCCCTCGCATTCGCGATGGGTCAGGCTGGGTAAGCCTTCACGTTCGCGTGAACGGGCTCGCGTTCGCGGAGCTTTAACCCCTCGAGCCCTCGCGTTCGCGTCCAGTGGATCGCGTTTGCGTAGGGTAATTTCCCCACTCCATGCCCTGGCCCACTTGGCCTTCACGTTCGCGTGGCCAGGACCGCGTTCGCGAAGGGATAACCCCCCACTGCATTGCGTTCGCGGCCTGAGCTGCGCGTTCACGTAGAAGGATTTTCCTTCAGCATAATTTACATATCACGTTCGCGAGGGCCATCCCGCGAACGCGAAGAAGAACATATCAGTGCACCTGAACAGCTATTTCTGCAATTTTTCTTAAGTTCAAACCTTTCCGAAACACACCCGAGCCCTCGGGGCTCCTAACCAAACACACGTACTAACTCAACAACATCATATGAACTTATCTGTGCGATCCAATCGCCAAAATAACCTCAATAACAACGAATTAAATCTCAAAATCAAAAAAAAATTCTCAAACTTCATAAAACATTAACTTTAGCAATTTAGGTCCGAATCAAGTCAAACGACGTCCGTTTTTCACCAAATTTTTCAAAAATATTTTAAATCATATATAAGACCTGTACCGGGCACCGGAACCAAAATACGGGTCCGATACCATCACATTCTAAACGATTTGCATTTCAAATTTCCTTAAACAATTTCAGAAAATAATTTTCTTTAAAAATTCACTTCTTTGGCTTGGGACCTCCGAATTCGATTCCGGGAAAATTCCCAAGTCCCATATTTTCCTATGGACACTTAGGGACCGTCAAATTACGGGTCCGGTCCGTTTATCCAAAACGTTGACCGAAGTCAAATTAACTCATTTATAACCAAATTTTATCATTTTTCATAGAATTTCATATTTAAGCTTTCCGGCTATGTGCCCCGACTGCGCACGCAAATCAAGGCAACTCTAAATGAGATTTTTAAGGCCTTGGAGATACAGAATGAGGTTTTCAAGGCCAACTCAATCCTCAATTACCGCCTTTCCTCTCGAATTCAGCTCCAAATAAATTGTATTTATACATAATCGACTTCATAACATCAATAAATGCTAAACAATTCGAATCCAATGCCTAATTATAGCTTTCTAATCATTCTTTCCAAAAATCCAAAAATCGACCCCGGGCCCGCTTAGTCAAAACACGAGGTTCGGACCAACACCCGATTACCCATTCACTCATGAGCCCGAATATATAATTTTTTTTCAAATACAACCCCGAAACGAGGTCTAAATTCTAAGTAATCTAAAAGCCCTAATTCTACCCAAATCCCTAATTTTCTACCTTTAATCTCACGTTTTAGGCCTAGAAATCTAGTGGGTGTTGATGAAAATGGAAGAAAACAAGTTAAAAATTACTTACCCAAGAGATTATGGTGAAGAAATGCTTCAAAAGTCGCCCCAAAGCTTTGGAGAAGAAGAAGTTTATGAAATTTTTATGAAATCCCAAAAGTATTCTGTTTTTGGTCTTTTAAAATCACTGGGCGAAAACACTCTTCGCGTTCGAGACAGACCCCTCGCGTTCGCGATGGGTCTGGCTGGGTAACCCTTCGCATTCGCGTGAACGGGATTGCGTTCGCGGAGCTTTAACCCCTCGCCCTCGCGTTCGCGTCCAGTGGATCACGTTCGCGTAGGGTAATTTCCCCCACCTCCTGCCCAGGCCCACTTGGCCTTCGCGTGGCCAGGACCACGTTCGCGAAGGCATAACCCCCCACTGCCTTGCGTTCGCGACCTGAGCTACGCGTTCGCATAGAAGGATTTTCCTTCAGCATAATTTACACATCGCGTTCGCGAGGGCCATCCCGCGAACGCGAAGAAGAACATATCAGTGCACCTGAACAACTATTTCTGCAATTTTTCTTAAGTTCAAAACTTCCCAAAACACATCCGAAACACACCCGAGCCCTCGGGGCTCCTAACCAAATACATGTACTAACTCAACAACATCATACGAACTTATCCGTGCAATCCAATCGCCAAAATAACCTCAATAACAACGAATTAAATCTCAAAATCAAAGAATTTTTCTCAAACTTCATAAAACATCAACTTTAGTAATTTAGGTCTGAATCACGTCAAACGACGTCCGTTTTCACCGAATTTTTCAGAAATGTCTTAAATCATATATAAAACCTGTAACGGGCGCCAGAACCAAAATACAGGTCCGATACCATCACATTCTAATCGGTTTTCATTTTAAATTTCCTAAAACAATTTCAGAAAATAATTTTCTTTAAAAATTCATTTCTCGGGCTTGGGACCTCGAATTTCAATTCCGGGAAAACGCCAAGTCCTATATTTTCCTACGGAAACTTCGGGACCGTAAAATTATAGGTCCGGGTCCGTTTACCCAAAACGTTGACCGAAGTCAAATTAACTCATTTTATAACCAAATTTTATCATTTTTCATAGAATTTCATATTTTAGCTTTTCGGCTATGTGCCCGAACTGCGCACGCAAATCGAGGCAACTCTAAATGAGGTTTTCAAGGCCTCAGAGATACCAAATTCAATTAAAAGCAAGTGATGACCTTTTGGGTCATCACACTTATGTCCTGATACTCGCCGCTCCGTCAGTGGTTTTTTCATCAGTTTGGGGTCTTTCTATTTCTTGAAAATCTAAGAAACAACCCTCTATTTCTTTATCCTCCGCCGAGGTAGAGTACATATCTATGTGTCGTGTTTTGTCTGAATTAACCTGGTTGGTTCGTCTCCTCTCCGATTTGTCTATTCTTCCTTCCTTGCCTGTTCCGCTACACTCTGATAGTCAGGCGGCCATTTGCATCGCCAAAAACCCTGTCTTTCTCGAGCGCACTAAACATGTGGAGCTTGACTGCTATTTTGTCCGGCAGTAGTTCCAATCTGGGCTCATCTCTCTTTCTTTTGTTCCTACTTGTTTGTAATTAGCCGATATCTTTACCAAATCCTTGCCGGGTCCTTTGCATTGTGATATTTTGGGCAAGTTGGGGGTTCAATCTCCACCCTCCTTGAGGAGGGGTGTTGAGGTTAGAGATGAGTACTTTGGTGAGGCTGATACTCTCAAAGATCTGGGTTAATATTTGGTTTGATAATTTTAGGAGATGACTGTTCTCCTATGCCACGTGTAATGATCAACAGCTATCTAAACACATAAGTGTGCTATATCGTCGTAGATTAGTTAGGGATATTTATGTAATTTTCCTTGTTCTACACATTTGAGTTAGTTAGCTTAGCTGTAGATTAGTTATACCAGCTGTTAATTGGTGGAGTGGTTTGCATGTGTATAAATAGGAACTTGTATGGATACAATCTTAGTTTTAGAAATAATACAATTTTCTCATTTTGCAATGTTTCTCTCTTCAATTTTCACACTAATCATCTACCGATAAATTAATTACCTTCCCGTTTTATCTTTTCTCGACAAGAATTTTCACTTTTAACATACACTACCTTTTTTAGAATAATGGGAATCATTTCTTGTCAAGTCATGTTTGAATGTTAGGTATCTAAATATTCTTATGGTTAGAGCATATGATATGATGTTCACATTGAATATGTAAGGGTACTCTAAATGGCTTATAGAGGTCTAATATCATGAAATCGGTTGCCTTAAAGTGAGCTGCATATACGACAGACTTCTATTCTCTCAGACCAAATATTTAGCAACATATGTCATTGATTTTGGGCGTATATCTAGATGCTTTATTTTTCATATTAATGCACGGCATCAAATTAAAGAAAATTGTTTAAGTCCTGTGCATTGAGAATGTAAAATTAATGTTTTTACACATTAACGTATATTAACTTCTCGTAGTAGGTAAGTAGTTTCATGTTTCAATTGTACTAATTACACATTTATGGATGGTTAAGTACACTAAGACCTTTCTATAACTACATCCCTTTATAATTATTATTTATTATAAAAGCTAAGTTTTTTTCGGAACCAATTTTTATATTATGTTATAATATATATCCTTTATAACAATACTTTACTATATCAACCAAAAAAATATTAAAATAATACTTGACTATATATTTTCCTTAGGTGACTTAATGCTAGTGTCCAAAAGTTCAACTCTTGGAAAGGATAAGTTAAATAAAATACCTAAGTAGAAGTTGATAAATGACAAGAATGGGATGTGAGACAAAGGACAATAACCACCAACTACCTTTTGGGTCCCGTGTTATAACTCGGGAGTTTTATCGTAGTGCTGGCAATCACTTGGGGCCAGGCACGATACAGAGAGAGATGCAGAGCGAAACAGGGGGGCAGCTTTAAATACAAGCTTAATCTGAATACCTTAACTCTGTTACCCCAAAAAAATGAAGTTCCTTCTGGAACTATTTGCCTGCTGTGGCTGTTCTTCACGTTTGCCCCCAGCAGAGGACATCGGACCTCTTGTTCCTGGCCCAGCCCCGCCTACTAACCGCAAGAACAGACGGCGGAGGAGAGGGAGAGTTGCGCCACCGAGGTGTGGTGGTTCCGTCCCTAATTGGAGGCCGTCCCTTTCGGCCATTTCCGAAGACAACGCTCTGCCACCGAGGAATGTAAAGAGAAAAGTCTCAACTGCTTCTGCACCGGCCACTCAACCCCGTCATCATCGCTGCGATGACACCAGGTAAATTTGTTTAATTGTGTAAACATTTCATCTAGAAGCTTAATAAATATTAGCACTAACAGACTTTTATTTATTTATTACACCTTTATCTTAAACATGTAAAAAAATCTTTATGCTGATGATAGATTATTGCAAAAACTTGAATGGACTTCAACGTGCTCTAATATCATGTTTAGTTATATGATCATCTCATTTAAAAATTTAAAATTTAGAGGTATCACGCTTATTTTTATATCTTTAGTATAATTGACGTTTTGCTTCTTCTGTCCTTTCTTTTTCTTCTTTAGGTTTCGTTTACTCTTTTGCAATTCATGATCTGTTTTGCAATTTGAATTCATGATCTTTTACCTGTAAAAATAAATCTCCTGTGAGTAAAAAAAAAAAGTAGGGTTATAAAACTAAATACTCTTAGTCTTCAAGAGTTGGTAGAAAAACATTCACTGCAATAATTTCTATAAATTTTCTGAAAGGAAAGCGATGATGCAAAGAATGAAAAGTAGTATGAGGAATTGCATCCTTTAAATGTTCAAAGCTTAGATAAATTTGTGTAAACTTAATATCGAAGTGAAACAACTAATAAAGGAAATTAATCTGATAAAATTCATATTTTCGGTCAAGAAAATGTTATTATGCAAAAGACTAGTTGGTGCAACAACAAATTCTGCGTGCTATTTCAACTTATCTTCTTCTGCTTTCACGGCTTAGTCACAAACTAACAAAAAAATTCTTTTTCTCAGGAGAATTCCCGTTTCAGCATTGGCGCCAGTTTTCTCCCCAACTCCTTTCTTATTTTAATTTGGACTGCTCAACATATCCTTTAATTTCCTCTGTAACCTCTGGGGCTCTTTTACATGTATGCTTATCGTGTAAATGTTCTCTCTCTCTTTTCTTGTTAATTCTTATCTTTTTCTTGCATTACGACGTCGAAAATAAAATTATTTGACTAAAACTACTGATGAGTTTAGATAAACAATAAAATGCAAGTGAGATGCGGAACCAAATGAACCCCATAAATTTGTTCACTAAAGATTTATGACACTATTAAATAGGGTTGCATTTGTATAATCCTATTCACAGTAGTGCAACAGACCTTTTCTTAGTTACAGCTCTAAGCCTCTAACATTCCTTTTCTCATATTTGTCAACATTTTGTGTTTAATTTGAATCTTTTCTTAATCATCATGTGAAACACTCAAACATGCATCGATCGGTTCCTATTATTTATTTATCTGGAATAAACTCTATGCATAGTGCATAAAACCGTATTAAGTAAAGGATGTTAAGAGTTGAATTCATTAAGTATATTAATTACAAATCAATTAAGTATATCTAGTCTTTTCAACTTCCATCTTGAATCCATGCAGTAGCACATTAGTAGAAAAATGGTTGTTAAAGCAAAAAAAACGACAACAATTTTTAAACTTTTTTTATAGCAATTGGTAGTATGATTCAAATATTCAACATCAAATAAAATGGAAAACGGCTATTTTAACACTCATCAACTAAGTGATACAATGTGTGTAGAAGTTTAAGAAATTTCATTAGTTAACTTTGACAAAATATCATCTATATAATCCCTCATCTTTGTTATACATGGATAGAGCTACCAACGACATTGCAGAAGCAAATACATTTAAGAAAAAGTATTTATTAAATGGATTAGGACAATATTCTTATAAAAAAGCATAAAGAAACATGTGGCGTTATAATAAAATAGGCACAGAACAATTAAAAGATTAATTTTGTCAAAGCTAATTCGAGTCTTTCAACTCCTTGAATAACTATTTCAGTTGCCGAAATTGATATTCGATAACATGTCCATCTATACATAAATAAAGGAATGACAACAGTAATTTTAAACATAAACCCAAATAGTTGTGTAGTTCTTTGTTCCCGATGTTGCAAACCTGGCTCATATTTTCTCCGTGGTTTGCGAAAGGTTCATTTTTGCCTTTTTTTTTTTTCACTAACAAAGACATTAGAAAAATAAAATTAAAAAAAAATAAATATGGAAAAGGCCTAAAATTACCCCTCAAATTTGTGAAAGGTTTACTTTTGCCCTAAATATATATTAATTTGATTAATATTTCCCCTTTTCACTAAGGGGTCTGTTTTGAACCTCAATTGTACATATTAAAATCACAAAATGATACTTTAAAACTAATTGAAAATTCATGAAAAATTTCAATTAAAAATAAGAAAATTTAAAAAATGGAAGAACTAAACACACGTCATAGCTAAATTAAAACAAATATAACAACAACAAAAAAAACTACCAGAGTAAGAAAAACAAGGAATAAAGTGTCTGGATTTTACATCTACTAATAAATAAACAATTAATTAAAGCAACAGTTATATAAAAAAATCAAATGTATTTATTTGGGGTGAGTTAAACCTAAATGGGAGAGGGGACGGGGGAGATGATTAATAAGAGAATATTCAATTAAATGTCAAGTATCATTTATGGTTTTAAATTGCACAAATTGAGTTTCAAAATTGATCCCTTAGTGAAAAGGAAAAATATTAATCATACTATTTTATATTTAGGGCAAAAATAAGCCTTTTACAAACTTAAGGGGCAATTTTGGATCTTTTTCATATTTATCTTTTATTTTCTGAATAAGTCTGTTAGTGAAAAAGGCATAAATAAATTTTTCTCAAAATCAAGGCAAATATGAGCCAGTTTTGTAATGGTAGGGGCAAAAAGCTGCCCAACTCTTAACGGAGGACAAAAAATGCCCATGAGCGTAAAGTTCATAGGCAATTTGGGTCATTTCTAAATAGTTAAGACGCAATTGTAACAAATATGTGGTGATCACCGACGAACAATTAAAAAATTAAGGGATAAATGAACTTAGGAGTGTAATGCCTGCATAATAAATTTGATATATAACGTAATAGACAAGCCGGAGAGTTCAAACTGCAAATATTTATTTTAGTAGATATCAGCCTTATATAAATTATACAGTGGCCGAATATGCAACAACTATAAAAAAACACAACAGAGAATTCAAAGTGAAAGGAGAATTTGAAAGCAAATATATTTGACATGTCAAAGGTTTACCCCGTCATACGCCGCACGGTTAAAATTACACTATTAAAATATTTAACCTATATATATATATATTACTTATAAATTTTACCAAATTATCTCTAAAGATTAATAGTTTGAACTTTTTTTATGTAAATAGTCATCCATGAAATTTAAAAATATTTTATTATTTAAGTTTTATAGTAAAAAATAAAAAATCCCTACAAGTGGTATCAAAATATTAGTTCCTAAATATGCTCTGATACCATATGTAAAGATTTTTATTACCTTATATATATATGTACTCTGATACCACATGTTAAGATTTTCAATCTCTATTAGTGGTGTCAAATGAGCGGGTTTGACTGATTTTGGACGGATTCAATAAAGTTATTTGGACTGAGATGGGTGACAAGAGCAAACCCTATTCCTTATAAAAGAAAGAAACGGAAGAAGACAAAAAAAGTGGAAAAATCAAAGAGAAAGAAAAAGACAAATGAAAATGTAATAATGGAAAGAATAAAAAGGGGGAAGAAAGAAAAAGTCAGAAAATATAGGCTGCAACAATATGAAAGATAAAAATCGGTGCGCAATTTGTGGTGCCGTCCTGCCGCTTTTTTACATTTGCTTAAACCTTTTTCAGCAAACGCTCTGCCTATAAATAGGCACTCTTCTTCCATTGCAACCATCTTCACAATTACTTCTTTCTGTTTAGTAATAAAAAGATATTCTCTGTGTGACCATGAAGTAGGCAAAAATTATCGATGTTGACATCCAATTTTGTCCCTCCTTTCTTTCAATTAATTCTATTGAGCTTTTAAGTTAATAATAGTTTAAATACCTTATTTTTACTACTTTTTTTGTTAGATCTATTACTATTAGTAATATTAGTATTAATGTTAGTATTAGTATTAGAGTATTATTATTAATAATTACTTAATATTATTATTGCTACTACTATTGTAATTGTATAATGTATTTTAAATATTAAATATTTGAATAAACTTAGAAGCTTAGAAGAAGTACAAGAAGAAAGGAGTCCAAATAGCCCAACAATTTCGGCCTCTTTGGAGTGCCATTTTTGAATCTCAACAGCGCAAAAGTCTTGCATTTCAAATCAGTCCATCAGATACAGCCAATTATTTTTAGCCCAAGACTATCTTAATACATCAGCTAGGTATTCTTGTCTTCTTTCCCCGAAAAAAAAAAAAACGCTGTTCCTTACCCCGTTCCCTTTTCAAGCAAAGCTTCAGCATCCTTAACCATGGTAGAAGCTTGCCTCGCCGATTTTGAGTAAGTTCTTTGTCTCTCTTCAAATCTCGTGCCTCCTCTTTCTCTCTCTCGTATGCAACAAGATATAGTCAATACAAGAGGCCAAAATACTTTTGAAGTTTCTGACCTTTGTCCAGACATACTTGCTGGTGTAAAGATTTTCTCTTTGATTTCAAACGGCTCTTTTTGAAATTCAAACGGTTAGTTCGATTCCCGCTCAATGTTCCATAGCCCTAAAATCATCCCTATAAATACATCCTATCGGTGTCAATTTGGGGAGGAGTTTTTCCGCCACCTCTATCCCCCTTAAGTCTACCTTTCAGCGGCCTACATCACACAAACTGTGTCCCGCTCGATACTGTTATTTTTTTTTTTGCTCTCACAGCTAATATCATCAATCAAAAACTAAGAATTTCTTTCAAAACTTTTCTTTTCTGTCTCGGTGAACTTTAGCCGTGACAGATTTTTGAAATCATTCCGATCGAGGTTAGAATCTTTTCATAACAGAGAGAGTAGATTCGAGACTCGACGCTCCAGTTCACTGCCCCACAACAGGTAATGTCCGACTTTGTTTCTGATTCTCCTTAGTTTAAATGTACTATTTTTACCTTGAAGAATCATGTCTTAGACTCTTTTCTGTTGTTGTGATAAAATATGTTAGTAGAATTTTGACATGATGAATTTATCATTTCGTTTGATTTAACTATTTGGAAGAGTAAATCATGTTTTAACTTAAGCCTTTTCTTGCCCTTTTTATAATAAATATGTCGTGTATATCTTCTGTGTTCCTTTAGTGTATTATGCATTTTTTGTTTAGATTTTAACTGCTAGAACTATTATTTTAGGAGTAGTATGGATTCCACATAAGAGAGGCTCATGATTGGTACAATACTCTGTGTCAGCATGTATCTGTGCTAGTTCTGTACTCCCCTCTTAATTTTAAGTTTAGGTACTACACTGTTAGAATTGATAATATAATTTCTTGTATCATGTGCCTTCATGCTATTTCTAAGATCCTCTGTAACTGCACTTGTTTTTATCTCTAAAGTAACTTTGAAAGAGTTTATAACATTTCCTTTTCTGCAACTGAGTTAGTTTAAATCATATTTTAGGATGTTATTTAAGTCAGGAAGTTAATAATATTTTTCCTAAAGTGAAACATTGTTTAAGAAACTTCATGTTGGTATAAGTTAGTTTTCCTTATGTTTCTGGTTATTAGCACATGTAGATATTTGTTCAAGTATACGTTTACAATATATAAAATACTGATTTGTTTAAGTATGAGCTTTCAATATGTGTGTTTCTTCTCTGATTGTTACGTCCATTAAGAAGCATATGATTCTTTCTAACCCATTCTTTTTCTTTCCTTTTCTTTTCCTTGTTTACATGACATGACGGAGCTGCTCTCGAGTTCCACTTTGAGACTCTATGCCACTGTCTAGAACCGATGTCTACATTATCATCACTCGCCCTCTCTCCGAAATAAATCCGAACAGCAAAAATGGATAAAGAGGCGCTGAAACAGGAATTACAGACGATGTTATCCTTCTGTTAGGAGCCAAATGGGGCTGTTTATGCATGCTTGATTGATGACTAACATTTTACTGCGTGGTTATCTTTTAATTTCAATTCTGTCGTTTATTTAAGTTGCGCTATTAACTTTACAACCAAGTATTAGTACGTGATTACTCACTATGCCTGCATTTGATCACATAGGATCTTCGCCTCAAGTTAACAATGAATTACTGACTCTAAAGATCAGTCTTTGTTTTAGTTAAAATGTCAATAATAGATGCTTTGCGTGGTTCGTTTTTTAAGGTATTTTATTTGGGTTCAATAATGAATATTGTTTTGATATAGGTCTTTGAATTGTTGACGAACTATTTTTATTTTGTTTGACGTAAGTCGAAGATGACCGACCTTGCTCTACTTCAAAAGACAATTTTTTTATAAATTAATTTTACTTTATCAAATTTTCTCAAGTCTAACGTTGGTCTGTCATTTTGGATTTTAGTCCATTTTTTAGGAAATTCTCTTTTCAAAAATTTGGTTCTTTAGACTCTGAAAGGAAAATCAGATTTCTAGGTTACTATACTTCAAATGACGGATTCTATTAAAGTTATATTTACGTTACTTAAACTACTTTACACTTAGCCTTAATTAGTTCTAGTCCGACTGGTAAACCATTTTAATATGGATCTTAATGGGTGTTTTAAAAACCTTCCCTTTAGATTAATTGAACTCTTACCTAAAATCTTTAGGTTAAATAGGCCATTAACAAAGTTATACTTTAAATTACTTTAATCAGCATTAGGTGTCCTAATTCACCATAATTAATTAGGTGACAACACTTTAACTTTAGTTAAACTCGGAATTGCCTATATGTTGTACCTTACTTTTAACAAATTTAAAATAGGGTAATAACAATCGAACCCACGTAAATCTTGTCTTGTCTTATTTTCTGAAATTTATTGATTTTCTCTTTTAAATTATTTTTTCGTCTTATATTAGCCTGATACACTTCCCAACAACTAGTATTAGAGTACAGTCAGTGTAATTCTCGTAAAAAAATACGGTATTGGTACAAATACTATTCACAAGAATAGTGCGACACTATTGCTCATCAATACTAACACTATTCACAATAGTGAATTAATATTCATTACTATTGATAATATTGTTCACCAATAGTGAGTTTTGTCTATCTTGCGATCGCACATTTTAGTCTGCGGACCGCACTTGTCACGACCCAAAATCCATTAGTCGTGATGACACCTAACCCAACCCGCTAGGTAAGCCAACTAATAATAACTATATAACCTCAATAATGTTAATAAGTCAATTAAACAAAAATAAATTATCTGGATCTATTACATTTTCCAAGAACTAATAGTATAAATCATGAGCTTCTAAGAATAAAAGTTACAAGGCTGATATGAAGTAAATACATCTTCTGTTTGAAAAGTACATAAACAGAGTTTTACAATTCTACGTCTACCATGAACAAGAGGCAAATATAACAGGGACACTGGTACATCTTCTAATCCAGCTTCCGTCGAACTCAGCAACATCGACATTCAAAATCTGCACGCAATGTGCAAGAAGTGTAGTATAAGTACAACCGACCCCATGTACTCAAAATGTAACAAACCTAACCTTAGGTTGAAAGCAGTGATGAGTTAGAACATACGCCTGGTCCAACACCAATAACTAATAGCAGTTCATAACAATGTAAAACAAATAAATAAAGAAATAGCTCAGAGATAAAGTGTCCAGCCTTTTCATTGTTTTCCGAAAACAGTTTCAGTTTTCAAGTATACCAATGAAAGCCCAAATCCTTTATCGAAATCGTCAAAAATATGAGTAAGTTTGAAAACTGTAACTTTTTCCCAAAAATTCTTTCACCAGTAAATATAATGTTTCATTTTCTTTTCAGATAGCATGTGTAAATACCTCTCTATAACCACATATCAATGTGTGTAAAAAGAAATCATGAATGACATGATATCGTATGGAAAAAAAATCATGAATGACTGATACCGTATAAGATGAGGAAAAATGCGTCTCCGTGCCTGCATGTCATGTGCATGTCAAATGAGATAGGACTCAGTAATAAAACCATATTCATACTCTCAGAGTATCAATTCACGGAGTCCTCCCAGACACTTAATCCTCACAGTCACTCAATCCTTACAGTCATTCGGCACTAGGCATTCCCACTCAGTAGGTACCTGCGCTCACTGGGGGTGTGCAGGGTTCGAGGGGGGGAGGGATCCTTCAGCCCAAGCGCTATAACTAGCCAATCATGGCATAAATAAATCAGGCCCTCGGCCTCACTTAGTCTTGAATTAATAAAACATGATGCGGCATGCAGCCCGATCCCATAAAAATCCTCACAATTAGGCCCTCGGACTCATTCAGTCATAAACCAATAAAACATGCTACGACGTGCAGTCCGATCCAATAAGTATCTTCACAATCAGGCCCTCGGCCTCACTCAGCCATCAATCTCTCCGGTCTCTCAGGCTCTCAATATCATGAAACTAGCCCGCAATGATATGATGTGTCAATAAATAACAATTGAGACTGAGATACGATATGAATGCATGAATATGACTGAGTACGAAATGACAATGAAATCAATGAGATGACAACAAGAAACGACCATTATGGGTCCCAACAATATTAGCATAAAGCCTAGACATGATATCTAACATGATGTACAACTCATTTACTTTATCACAGGATAAAAACACAGATATCAATAAAATAAGGCCACCATTCAGTGCCCAGGAAACAACAGAGTCACAATTCACAAGGTACACGGCCACACGCCCGTCACCTAGCATGTGCGTCACCTCAATACCAATCACACAATACATAGCACTAAGTTTAGATTTAAACAAGCTAATTCCGACACCGAGCAAGCCAAGCGATGCTCCAAGAATGCCATCACGCACGTAGCGACATCCGAATAGCTTAAAACTAGCCAAAAGTAACTCAAATACATCAAGTAAAGCCCAAGAAAGCAAGTACAATTGATAAAGATCGAATTCTACATCAAATCCCAAATCTGGCCAAAAATCACATCCGGGCACAAGCCTCAAAACTTGACCAAACTCGTAAAATCCAACAACCCATTAAATTACGAATCCAACGATACTAGTTTCACTCAAATCAAAACTCAAAATTTCATATTATGAAACTTTAGGTCAAAACCCCCAAATTTCCTCTTTAACTTCATCAACCAATTGCCAAAAATGAAGATAGATTCATGAAATATAATCAAAATTGAGTGTAGAACACTTACCCCAATCCTTGTGATGAAAATTATTCCAAAAATCGCCTCAATGCGAGTCCCACATCTCAAAATATGAAGAAATAACCAAAACCTCAATTTTATAGCTTCTGCCTAGTAATTTCCGCATTTGCGATAAAAATGTCGCATCTGCGACCTCCGTTTCTGCGGATAAAGAACTCGTATTTGCGAGAAAACCGCTTTTGCGATGGCCTGGACAGCACATGCGGTCGCGCTTCTGCACAAATACCTCAAGTTCTGCAGACCTTCACCCCTCAGTAAAAACTCGCATCTGAGATGCTTGGCTCGTACCTGCAGCCATCGCACCTGCGGAATATTAGTCGCAGGTGCAGAAACACCAGAATCAACAGCTCCTCAGCAATGAAAACATGGAGAACAATGATCCGAGGCTCGTCTGAAACTCACCCGAGCCCCTCAGGACCACATCCAAACATACCAACAAGCCCAATAACATCACACGAACCTACTCGAGTCCTCAAAACTCACATAACAACTTCAAAACGACGAATCACACATCAATTCGAAATCAATGAACTTGAAACCTCAAATTTCCACAACTGATGTTGAAACCTATCAAATCACGTCCGATTGACCTCAAGCACATAAGTCACATTTGATATTACAGACCTGCTCCAACTTCCGGAATTAGAATCCGACTATGATACCAAAAAGTCCACTCCCGGTCTAACTTTCCAAAATTCCAACTTTTGCTATTTCAAGCCAAAATCCACTACAAATCTCCAAATCACGATCCGGACGCGCTCCTAAGTTCAAAATCACCCAACAGATCTAACAGAACTATTAGAATCCAATCTGAGGTCAAATACTAAAAAATCAAACTTGGTCAAACTTTTCAAATTTAAAGCTTCAAGCTAAGAATCATTCTTCCAAATCAATTCCGAATAACCTAAAAAACCAAAACCGACGATTTACATAAGTCATAATACATCATACAGAGCTACTTATGTCTTCAAACAACCGAGCTAAGTGTAAATGCTCAAAACGACTGATCGGATGGTTACATCCTCCCATACTTAAACATACGTTCGTCCTCGAATGTGCCAAGAGTTGTTCCAAAAGCCATCAAATCGCCATGTAACCTCACTATGCACATACCTGGGGGTGATCCCACGTCACCCTATCCCATATAGGTCTGATAACACAACATGGATGAAATTTCTTAATCCAACCTAGCCCATAAGTCTTAGAACCCAATTTCCTACATCCGAAATTTTCTATAAGGTCAGAATCTTGCATTTACTCACTGTATAAGTCAGAACAAGCTATATCAAACCATATCCGTAACCCAAGATGTAATCATATAATATACCTTACAACTCAAATACTCATGGTGATAATTTCTAATCACAGTAGCTGCTCACAATAACCCAATACCGGTAATAAACCTCTTATCAAACAAAACCTCATTCTAACACCTTCATATCCTGCCAATAATGAAATAAACACGTAGAAATTCATAACCATTCCTCAAATCAACAAGTTGTGGAACTCCCTATCAATCGATAGGAACTATAGCAAATTTCTACGCCGATCAGCAACAATATCCTTCCAAATATACAACAATCAGATCTGGTAGCACCCATTCTAGGTCCGATGACCTCATCTCATCTAACATAATTACTATAGTGACATGCCATATCCATATAATCTAAATCCACAACCCATGCAATCCGTGCACCAGATAGCAACATTCCAAATGTACTCAACCTTGAAGATGCCTCAAACGAGAGGACTGTCCTGCCAGCTTAACAAGTACCATCATAGCACCATGCTAAGAGCCTAGCACACGCCGTAGAACCGAAACACATGAATATAACACAAAGGATCATATCTTAGCATAACTTCTCTACAATGCGTGACCCCATTCAAACGCTGCTCCATATTATATACCTCGAGCCGCCTTGCTCAAAATCAATAACCATGCAAAATTCGACATCAAGTACCCAAAGTGAATTACCATAACCGTGGAGAAGCAAA